GATACAACTTTTTAATGTATGAACAAACTATTGTTCTGCTAGACCTACATGTGGGAAAGGGATCTTCTCTGCAAGGCTACCATAACAGCTTATCCTTGCTTAGCTACCAGCAAAGTAGAAGTGCTTTAATACTATATTGCCTTACTTAAATTGCTGCTAGAGCCTTGGGCTAAGGTGGAAGCTGCAGACCTGGGTAGCAGGTGAAGAAAGAGCGATGTCGGAGACAAATATCCGGTTAACAGTGTTTGGTCAAACTTTAACAGCTTTTCTAGCTGTGCAGGAAGTTTCCTCACATATGATTCATGACGTGCACAGTCTGTGCTGACTGCTGATGCTAAATAGTTACCTGGGAATGCTTTAAGCATGCTCTCCTAACCTTAACAGAGGAGACTACAACATGATTAACGGTAGGAGTTCTGATGGTAATGCTTTGCTGGGGCTTGCCAAGCCTTCCTGAGCCACTTTGTGACATTAATTTGAACTTGTTGGTAATTTGTTCAAGAATCGTTGACAGAAGTTATCTGCCTTCATGCCAGTTTCTCAAACATCAACTTCTAAAATGGCATAGATGACTTAAGTACCAACCTATTAGTTATCCCGAGTTATTAAGGGCAAATTAATAGTTGTTCTGGAACAGCAAAATCTTCAGTTCTAATCCCTTGCATTGTGAGCAAAACCCCACTGCTGCTTGTCTCTGGAGGAGATACATCCTTAGGCTTCGGGATCTCTTCAGGTACTGGCTTGCAGCTGAGACCTGCAGTAACAACCACGGTTCACTTGCGTTTCCTATGCAGGGCAAAGAGCAAAGATACTCGAGCATGCACAATAACTACTCTAAGACACGTAACAGAACTCTAACCTTTAGCTTCAGCTCTGAAGTGTCTTGCACGGGGAAGGTAGGGTACATCTAGCTGGGTATGGCTTTACAGCCTCAGTTCTGTCTCGAGCCAGCTGCATGTGCTCTGAATTACTGCGAGGGGCAGGAAGGCCAATACAGTAGGATATTTTGGTCATGTGAGAGCCCTTTAAAAAGGCCTCACAATGAGCCTGTTTTCATGTTGTAGAGAAATCCTGGTTCCTGCTGTTGCCTAGCTATGTTCAGACTGTTGAGAGGTGCTAAACTCATCAAAAAGCTTCATGCTGCAGAGCAAAACCATTATTTTTGGTTCCATGTGGCTGCTGTCTGTCATCCTTATCCTGCTTTGTTTTCTTAGGGCCATCACTTTAATTTGGAAAGTCCCTTGGAGATGTCCTGGTTTTCAGCTGGAACAGAGCTGGGTTCTTTTTCAGTAGCTGGAATAGTGCTGCATTTTGCTTTTCAGCCTGGGATTCGTTATGAGAGAGACACTGATAACACACCAGTGTTTGCATTTTTGTTGCTGGAAGTGAAGGACTTTGTGTTCTGTTAGTCTACAGATGCAAGATCTAAGGGGGTGAGGAATATTTAAATTAATAAGCTAAACTGGCATTTGAGTATGGCAATGGGATATTCCATATCATATCATGTCATATCCAGTATATTAGTGAGGGAGTCTTCCTCTTTGGGCTCTCTCTGGCTTTTCACTCAGGCTCTCGCTCTTCCAGGATTGCGGTTTTGGTTCGGGATTGTCGCTCCTCCAGGATTGTTATCTGGGAAGGGTCTGGGCTTGGTCGGTGAGTGGTGAGCAGTTGCACTGGGTATCACTCATTTCCTTTTTTTGTTACTGTTATTATTATCACTACTATTTTAGTATTAGTATTATTTTGAGTTTTCTTTTATTTCTATTATTAAATTGTCCTTATCTCAACCTACAAGCCTCCTTATCCTTGTCCCAATCTTCTCCCCAATCCCCTGGGGGTGGAGGTGTGGGTGAATGGCTGTGTTGGCTGCTAGCCAAGGGCTAGCCCGGTGAAACTATCACAGGAGATGAATTCATTCCTCCTCCAAATGCACCACACCAACAGGCAGCAGGGTCTATCTTCTTCAGGCTGCCTTTAGGCAGTATGGGGAGAGTGCTGCCTTGCTCTGCCCTGAATCCCTGGGTGTGCTAAGGAACTACTGGGGAAGAAGCAGATAAACTGACTGTTATGCCTGGCAGGGGAGGATTTTCTTCCCTGAAGTGGATGAGTTAGGGATGGCGGGTAGCCTAGAAGTGTCCCACACCAGGTTTGGAAGGGTGGACTGCAGTCCTTTCTCTTTACAGCTGGATTGGCTTGTACTTAAGGGTGAAGACTGTAAACTTCCCTAGGTGATGAGAAAGAAGCTTTTTCAGCAAGACAGCTTCCTTCATCACCAGGTAGGATTTGTAGCTGCCAGTGAGCAAGGAGCAACGTAAAATCCTGCAGGTAAGAGAGCAGGAGGCTGATGTGTTTAGGTGGTTTGCTCCAGCAACCTAGCTGTATGGCCACTATCAGCTATATTAATCTGAGCAAAGAGGGTAGCTTGAAGGAGTGCTTGCATGGTCCCTCTCTTGGCAATGATCTTAGGACATTAATGTTTAAAAAAACTAGAGAATTGTCTCTGGTGGTTTCTGGGCTCCTGATTAGGCTATGCATAAGCTAGGGCAGAAGCAGAATTCAGCCTCTCATGTGGAGGCTGAGATTTGTAACTCAGCAAACCTTCTCTGTAAGCCAAAGGTATGTTCTGGCAGTGAGCAATGTCCTATACTTGTCTCTCTGACTACACTGAAGATGTGTTTTTTGCCCCATACACGCTTCTTTCTGTAGTGGTGACAGGTCAGGTCAGTGGTCTTGGACTGGCCATCCAGATGTCTCTAGGGATGTGAAACCAACTTTTGCACAATAAAGATGCAGGAAGAGTACCAGATTTTTTCTGAATGGATGGTGTGGGGTAAAACTGAATGCAGGGAGTTTCTTGTAAATGACAGGAATGTAAGTGTTGACTCCAGTAAACGCCCTTGGCTGGGAAATAGTATTCCTGATTGTTAGCAGGGATGAACAGATCTTCATAAGGGGTTCTTTTTCCTCTAATGGCTCCTTTCAGTTGTCTTAGCCTGCTGGTGTTGACTGGTGTTACACTGAATGATTCTCTGGCGTTGGGACAAAGTCCTAGGTGGTAGCCTCACCTTTGCACTCTCTTTCTGTGTTAGGAGACCAACGGTAGAAAACACCCAGCTCTTCCAGTGTGCCAGATCTGGTAGCTTGTCATTTTGCCTAATCCAGTTAGTACTACTAGTGCCTGAGCCTTTTGTACAGAGACAGTCCCCCACCCATCTGCTGAGTTACACGAGGGAAGGCTGCAGAGCAGAATCCGTGACTGTTCATATTGGCGTGCTTGGTTAATAGAGAGTATGTTATTACTGTAGCTGTGTTACAGTTCTCTGCCTCTGGATGCTTTAACTAGAATCCGTGACCAAAGCTTTGACCTTCATCGGGTGAACTTTGCAGTATTTCTGGCAGATGCTGGAGCCACGTGTCAGGAATGCAGAGGAGCACTGTATTTTCTTCTTTTCAGTGGGTTTGGAAAATAGCAGAGGCCTGTGTTCCAGGCTCCAGCACTCTCACTGTCACCAGAAACCAATGTAGGTCTGCAGTCTAAACAAACTGCTCTTTAATTAGCTGGAAGGTCTGCTCCCATGCCCATGGACTGCAGTGGAAATGGGAAGTTAAAACTTGGGAAGTGGTACACCTCCTTCTCATACCCCCAGGCAATACAATGCCCAGGCTTGACTTGGGTATTCTGCAAGGCTCCATCACTTCTACGGCTTTGAGCAGAGGGTGGTGTAATGTCTCTGGTTGTCTCTGTCTTAAAACATTGCTCTAATGGTGGAGGAAAAGATTAATTTCCATTTGATTATGCTCCTCTGTGTGCAGGCTGCTGTGAAGAAGCCAGGTGAAGGAGTGGGGTTGGGAGGAAATAGTTGCTTGGCTGTAAAGGTGATCTACACTGCTAGTAAGCTTGGGGTTTTTTCAGTGAAAGAAGCTGACCTTGGGAGAAAGAAGGAAAAAAAAAAAGGTAGCGAAGCACTGCCAAACTTTGAGTGCCTTTTTTAGGTAAGAAGCCCTTCTGCTTCTCAGGGCTAAATCTTAAACCCCCAGCATGAAGTCAGCTTACCCAAGTTGATCTTTCTTCATAGTATACGTGTCAAAACATAAATACATTTCATCAGGACTGTGCATTCCAGTGTTACTCATTCCTGGTATAAGTGGCTGCTCTAAATGACTCTGGCTGAAGCACTAAGGACATAGGGCAGTGCACTGCCATTATGTATGTATGTATGTTTAAAAAAAAAACCCCACAAATAAAACCCCCTCATACCTAGATATGTTTAGCTTCATGGGCAAAAATCATAATGCACATTGGCACTTTCATAAAAAACCTAGGTGGTAGGTGGTGTTTATAGCGTAGTCTTCAGAGATGAGTGCTGCTTTCCCGTGTCCTGAGCTTGCAACTACAGTGTGGTACCTGGGCAGCAGGGACTGAGTTCCAGCTACTGGTCGTTACACTGGTGGAAGTAGCTGGAGAAACAGTTACGCACACAGAATTTTCCATTAATCATAGGAAAAAGTCGTACACAGATGGTATATAGGATAGATTACTGCTAGTAATCCTTTTGTGTCCTAGAAGATTAAGGATATCCTGGTGTAGCTGCAGTCAGCTGACCTTTTTTTATTTAAATGATTGGAAATTCTTGATGCAGTTCTGCAGAGGACCCAGTCTCTTCCAGGAGCCACGAATGGTGTGCTGTGAATGTTTGTTAAAGGAACGGCCTGTTTAAGTCCAGCCTCAGTTATAAATTTACAGGAACTTAACTTTGTGCCATGGTAAACAGCAGCAGCTACAAGGTGGGTAAGAAATCACTTGCTAGACAGCTCTATCAAATCTAACAGAGGCACAAGAGAGCTGAATTTTATGAGGAGGTGTCATCTGAAGAAGCGGAGTTTCTGAATCCTGCTGTCAGGGTTGCCTCAGAACGCGAAGATGAATGCTTCAGTGGAAGAAGAGAGTGGCTGCGCACTCTGAATTTCCTGGCATGGATCTGTATGAGGATTACAAATCACCCTTTGATTTCAATGCCGGAGTGAACAGAAATTACCTTTACCTGTCGCCTAGCATAAACCTTTCTCCGCCCGGATCACCTACACTGGTGAAGTCTGGTAACTTCCTGCTCTTTCTTTTTAAAAACCTCTATGTGGAAAGTTAAGTGATTAATATCTGTAAAAAAAAGAACTACCAGAATTAAGAATCTGTAAGATTTGCCTGAAATGCAGATGTAAATGAAAGTAGAAGTTGACCTACTGTTAACTCTGGTGTGTCGTGGAGGTAGTATCTCATGTGCTGTGCATTTACCAGCTTTATCTTATGTCTTAATTTCTCAGTAGAAAGGCAGTTTGTGGGGAAAATGAAATGAGCAAAAATTTAAGAACAAAAGGGCAGCTTCTGCAAGATTGGGGTAATTGGCCAAGTTCGACTATGAGCTTTTTTTTGGGAGGAGGTAGGAGTTGCATTCCTGGACTGTCCAGAGCTCTGAAGTCAGACTAACATCTGCTCCTGCCTTAGTACTGAAAATGTGACTGATTAGCAAAAATGCCCTTGTCCTGGTTTTGCTAGGATAGAGTTAATTTTATTTTTAGTAGCTAGAATAGCTGTGTTTTAGTTTCAGTGTGGGACTTGTTATGACCTAATAAACTGCTGGAATAATGTGTTAGTCTTGGAAATACAAACACCTACAAACTGACTTTATAACTAGGTAAGTTTTCCCAATACTAAATACGCCTTTCCTAATTTTTTTTCCCCAACAGAATAGGAACAAAATGAGCAGAAAGGTGAACAGTAAGAGGGCATGACAGGGGAGGTACCAGAATGAAAACTGATAGGAAGGTGTTTGCATACGTCAAATGGCACTGAAGAGAAAGTAATAAACGGGAGGGGGGCAGAAGGCGAGGAGAGGAGACAAAGGCGTTGTTAGATGTACAGGGTGAGGTATGAAGGTAGCAGTGGTTTCACATCTTCCTAAAAGATCTAGAAATGGGAAGGGGAGGAAAGATCACTCCCTTGCTTCGTAGCATTGTGTCTTAAGTTCAGTGTAGGCAACAAGCAGCACAAACTCCCTTAAAACACCAGTTTTCCAAAGCGAAGGTACATTCCCCAAACAAGCTGTTGCTGCGGGAGACAATCCAGCGTGTTTTCCTGCTGCTGGATTGACTCGGTCTATTTTTGGTGAGATAATCCAGATGACTCTCTATAACCAGACTGAACAGACTTTCAGCTGGTTGTGCTAATGCTCTGGACTCAGCGTGGTCTCTGGTGCTTGACAACTTTCTGAAATGGCTTTCACAGTGCAAAGCTCTGGTCCCTGAAGGGGCCACAGATGGAGAACAAGGCCAGGAGTTGGAGGCCAACATCCTGGGCGTCATAGAGTGTCAGGGGAAATGCAGTTTAAGTTGATAGTTTTCCTTCAGTATAGGCATATATAATTAATAAGATAAATAGCAATTTGACAAAAAGTTACGGCATTCTTAACCATTTGATGTTAAGAAAAGGAAATATGTTGAAGTATAAAGCAAAAATTATCTGATTGGAGACATGTGCTGTAATCCTTTCTTTTGGTTCTGTAGTGCTGTGCTTTGGTTTGGGCTTTAGACTCAAACTTCTTTTCCCCCCTAGATTCCTGCCAGAAAATAGCATATTGGGAAACCTGTAGGAACTAAATTATGTTTGTGTAGAAAACAGATGTAAGTCTCTGGGAAAACACTGTATAGATTTCATAAATAAATGCAAAAGGAGGTTTCAGTTGCTTTCTGTATGATTCCTTCTCAGTGTACTCCATGGTAACTTACAATTTACAAATGTTCTGCCCGTGTAGCAGCGTGCTTCTAGAGGACAAGTGTTCTGGACACGGATGTTTCTGCCTAGAAAACACACTGCTTTGGGAAGAACTTGTGGAATCAAGCTTTACCTGGGTTCAGTAACTTGATCAAGGACAAGGCCTCTTCATTTCTTAGGCTCGAGAGCTGCTAGGAGCATGCTTTGTGGAATACCTACAAGTAACTGCAGACTCACAGAATCTTTTTTTTCCCCAACTTCTCAGTTGATTGTGATGTAGCTATCTGATATCAAGTCTCACAGTGAAGCCGTAGTAGTGGTCTCACTGCACATTAATGAGTTTTTGGATTCCCAGACCAACTGGTATTATAGAATGCTGTCAGAAGCTACTGAAATGAGGATGGAATTTCATCTGGTTAATTATTGTAGTGAGTGGTAAGGGAACATTACTTAATATGTCTTCAACTTGTCTGAATTATGTATTTATATACATATATCTACAAATATACATACACACCTCCCCTTACAAACAAACAATCCTCCTGTTGGTTTTTTTTAATCTATTTTAAGATTTTTATTTATTATATTTATTTTTTATTACCTATAAAGCTATTTTACCTCTTGGATAGAGAATTAGTTCTGGGAATCCACAACCATTCCAGCAGGCAGTCTCTCTGCAAACTGGTCTCTTTGCAAATTCAAACAGAATTCCTTCAATTCTGTCAAACTGTATGTTTAAGTGTCAGCTGCAAAGATTAAAAATGGGAAATCTTTTGCTGGAAAGTCTGTTTGTTGCATTAAAAGATGTTTAAAGTGATACTACTGCAGGCACCAAGGAGTAAGAACAAACGAATCTTTAAAGTCAGCGCATCATAGTAATACACATAATACCATTTTTCTTCCTTTCCCTGAAGCTGTGAGGATGAAAGTTGAGGAAGACCATAGGGATGTTTGGGATTCATACAGAAGGGTTTGGCAGAGTTTTGGTTATTGGATTTGGAAGGGGAAGAGGCAGCAGTGTGAGTGGATGCACACCATCATCAGTCCCTTCTCAGCACTCCACCTCTTTGAAGTGACATCCTTGTGTTGCCAACCTCCTTCTCCAGGCTTCTCATCTATCTTAATGTCCAGGTGCAAACCAGCAGCTTGCTTCTAGTGCCATGATATCTGCGACCTTCCAGCCACAGTGGTCCCCCTTACTAGAGACAGAGAGGTTGAGCAGGGTACGGGGGAAGAGTTCGTACTTGGCAGTGCAACCCTTTTCTCTGCTGTTGCTGAGCTTGCTTGTTGCAGTGACTGCTCCCAGTATGCTGCAAATGGGCTTTTTTTAATCTGATCTTGAGAGCAGTGAGGGAGGGAGCCTCTGCATGGGGGTCTTGAGAACCTCCAGCACTTCCAGAGTTTCTGTGCCGCATGAATGAGCGAGAGCAGAGAGCACATGGATTCCTGGGCAGAGGTTGTGTAGGAACTGCTGGTAGGGATGTAGCATTCTGCACCTTGGTCTCTATCAGAGTAGTGGGATATGTTGTTCTCAGCACGTTTCCAGTCTCCTATTAGAGCAGCTGTTGCAATTATATTGAGCTTTAATACAACTTGATAGAACAGAACAGCCAGTAAAACGCCTCTGGCTTCCTGTACGCCATCGTACTCGGGGAGCGTGACTTTGGTGTCCTCTCATCGGTTTTCTTTGTGCACTGGCACAAAAGGGCTGTATATTAACATTAGCTGGTATCTGGCAGACATGTGGTGATCTAACTTTTAATGGTTTGTTCACTTCAAGGGCTGCTGAGAAGTGATTCTATACCTGAGGTTGGAGAGGATGCTGCTGCTACCGTTGGCATGGCAGAAACACTGTCAGAAGAAGAACAGGATGAGCTAAGAAAAGAGCTTGCTAAGGTAAGTCTCTTGCAAATAGTTGAGCTCAACCAGTCTCTTCAACTGGTTTTGACAGTGAAAATCTGGGATAATGCTGTCCTGTAACTGAACATACAGTTAATGCTTTGCATATTTATTCTGTGAGTGTCTAAAGCTGGGTACAGCACTCCTGTGTATTGCAGGGAGGGAAAGGGAAGGTGTCAGGGAGAAAAGAACATCCAGTTCTAGCTATGGGGAATTAAGCTGAAAGTGGTGAGTGTACAGGTCTTAAACCAAGATGCATAAATGCCTAACCCTTTCTTTCCTCAAGTGAGAAGGGGTTAAATAAGCTGTCAAAGAGAACACGGTTGGAAGCCAAAACCAAATATTGTCTTAGCTGGTGTGGAGTAACTAAAGCTGTTGTTTTCATGAAGGATGTTTTGCACTAATATCCGTGTAGTCACTGGTTTGCTAATGTCTAACCATGTAACTATTCTTGTCCATAATTCATATAGCAGAAGTTTTTTTAAGAGTGAGTTAAAGTGGTACTATTCGAAGGACAGTCAGATATTCAAGCCTGATACATGTATTTCAGAAGTTGTCAAAGTCAGGCTTTTTAGAGTTGCTAGTCTTTTTTCTTTTGGAGCTCTATGTGACTTCAGAACCCTAATAAAAGACACTAACTTAAACCTAAGGTTAACAGGTGAAGGTTAGCTGTGAAATGAGCACATTAAATGCAGTCTTGGTTTTGGTAGTCCTGAGTATTATTTCATGCCAAACCAATCAGCTGAAGATGGTGGGGGAAATCTGGTCCTGCTGGGGTGTGTCATGCTGGACTTTGGACAAGTATCCAAAACAAAGGTGCACTGAAGATACTGGTATTTCCTCAAAGGAGCTTAAATCAGTGGGAAGCCTGCTACTCTAAATAGGGTGGTCCAGTCTGGATGAGGAAGTAGGGTTGGATGTATGCCTTTATACGTATGGTCTTAGTGCCTCCTTCACATGTGTACAGCCCACTGAATGGCATCATATAACTCCTCTGACACTTCTGATCGTGGTCTGGTCATGTTTCTGTGAGAGGCTTAAGTGACCATCTGCATAAAGAAGGAAGGATACAAACAATACAGTTTTCTAGTTGCTGAACACGTGCTGTGTTTTTATGGTTGTGAGCTTTTTTGTTTGGTGTTTTTTTGGTTGTTTTTAAACAAACAAACAAAAAACCGCATCTCAGTCTGCCACCATTTCCACCCCCACTCTGGGAAGGCAGTCCTGTGGCTGGATCCAGCCTGCAGTTGCTGGCTTAAGCCACAAAGGAACCTTTCTGCTCAAGCAAGGAGACAAAACCTGTGTATGGACCAGACACGCTCTGAGCTTCTTGATACTGGTCGTACATTGGTATCTCTTCTGACGTGGAAGGAGAGTGTAGACTTGGCATTTATCCCAGGTTTGACTAATCTTCAAGCTTCACATAGGCTAATGTGGTATGAAGGTAAAGATTTCTAAATATATAGTCTTAGTTTCCAAATCCCTTGTGCATATTCCAGTACCAGAGCTAGCTGCAGGTAGATTACTTTCTCACTAGCTAGCTCTTGTTGTAAACCATGTTGGATTTCCCTTTTAGTATTTAGAAACAACTGTGAGGCAATGTTAAAAACATGTTAGCCCTCCCATTACTGATGCCTAGTACATGTTTAAATAAATACCTAGTTAAATGGATGGGTGTATTGCTTGTTAACTTACCTCTCATCAACTCTGCTGCCACAGGTGGAAGAGGAAATCCAAACGCTCTCACAAGTGCTAGCTGCCAAAGAGAAGCATCTAGCAGAAATCAAGAGAAAGCTGGGAATTAACTCATTACAGGAACTAAGGCAGAACATTACCAAAAGCTGGCAAGATGTTACGTCAACCACAGCGTATGTACCAGTTCACGATGATTGTCTCGGCTGCTGAGGTGCAAACTGTGTAGTTCCTGTGTCGTGTCTAAACCCTCTGTTCTTGTGAAACTACATGAGTGTAGATCACACGAAGTTAAGTTGCACTAAAACTTACCTGGATGAATCATCAGAAATTTATTTCAAGAAGGCCACTTATTAGCCATATCATCTCATGCAAAATAAGAATGATTGACCATAATATGGGTGATTCTAATACACTTTTTGTCTGACAGACCTGAGATACCATTACTGAGATACCAAAGTGCCACCTAAGTATAACAGAATACCCGTCTTTTCCAGCCTGAAAAACTGTTGTAAACTGAGCTTGTGCAGGAGCAGGGCAAAGTCACAGTTAATGTTCTTGCCAAACACAACTGTTAGCTTAGGGTCTAGAGTGAACTGTCTTCTGCAGTTAATGACTACACAGAATGTAACAGGATGTACCTCAAACTTTTTATGGTGAAGTTTATTGACAAAACCATTTGGTACAAGATTTTAGACACTTGGCACCAAAAATAGACTTCTCTTTTTTTTTTTTTTTTTTTTCCGTGTGTGGGCTTGGGGTTGTTTGGTTTGGTTTGGTTGTGTATGTGTGCTGGTTTTATTTTTTGAAATCTTATAATAGCAGAGAGCATCTGTTCTGGGGATGGGGTAGTAGGTGCATGTTGGTGAACCTGATCTGAAGTCTGAGGTGGTGGAGATGCTGTAGCCAGAAGGGACTGCAATGGCTCAAAAATAATCTCTTAAGTAGCTTCTCCATTTGACCCCAAAGTTGAAGGATACCTCTGGGTTTGATACAAATTTGCATACACTAAAGATTCCTTATGTGTTCTATTAAAATAAGTACAGACTTAATTTTGTTTGAACGCAGGTACAAGAAAACATCAGAAACCCTGTCTCAGGCTGGTCAGAAGGCTTCTGCTGCCTTTTCATCTGTTGGTTCAGTCATAACCAAGAAGTTTGAAGATGTCAGGTAAGTTTCTTTAGCTTTTCCCAAGTAGTTGCATTTTTTATTTAAGCAGGTGATCACTGAAATAAATGTATGCTGTTAACATAACTAGCACTTCTAAAAGTTAACCTATCAAGAACCCTCAGTGTCTGTTTTAGGAGATCTGAGTAACTTGCTGCAAAATCCGCTTGTATGTTCTTGCTGATGCGGAAGAGTTCCGTGGTGTTAGATATGCAAGAGAAGCAACATCTGGTACTATTGCCTCCACTGCTACTTGCATTTTTCTGGTAGGATTGCAGGTGGAAGAATCTCAGCCTGCCCCTGTGTGATGCTCATAGCATTGTCATTTCTGTTCTCTGACTTTCTCAGCTTGTGGAATACTACATTTAAACCACTAATGTCTTTAACTGGTTGGGTTTTTTTGTTTGTTTGGTTGGTTTTTTTTGTCGTGTGTGTGGATTCATTTCAGATGTGTTTTATTTGTAAGCTGTTCTACCTCATAGCAGTGGCTTGATTTTATTACCTTTTTAATAGACTATTGGCACTTTTTAATTCTTAAATATTGGTACTTTAACTTTGTGTCAAATGACACAGCACTTCATGCAAATTAGGTAATTTTGGTGGTCACTTTTAGCGCTATTATGAGCTGCATGCAAAACTTTGCCTGGATGCAATCCAGTCTTGTGCTTAGCTTACAATTCTTTGTTTGATTATATAATTTTTACTACTGGAACATACACAACTATTCATCTCTGCTTCTAGCTTGTTGGGAATAGTGGATCAAACTTATTTTTCAATTATTGACCAAATAAAAATTCACACATTCTAACAGAATAATGCTGCATTGGAAAGCAAGCATAAATGAAATAAAATCAGCCCTCTGTTTTAAAGTGCTGCCATTAACCTCTTTCTTGCTTTTTGAAGTCTAGTGAGAAAACACTTTGAGGTCCAGTTACACAGTTACTCATTTTTCTTCAGATTTATCAGAACTTCCTTTTTCTCTTTAATGCTTACTCTGGCATTGTGCAGACTACAGGCATTTTCACATTCCTTTAGGTAAGGTGGGCACAAGAATTGTTTCTGAAACTAAGCATGTAGTCAGACTGTCTGCATTAAAATTTTTAGATAAGTTTTGTATGTAAAAAGGACTTTCTTTTTTTTTTTTTTGCCTTTTTTTTTTCTCCCCAGTGTTAGTTAATGTAAAACTGAAGCTCTCTTAATGTCAGGGAAGGTGTTTCTTCATGTTTACCTGGTAACTATCCCAGAACAAGAAATCTTGAGAATACATAATAATCAATTAGTCTCTCTTCCTTGTAAGAAAGGAATCTTAAAATGATTCTGCAAGTTTTTTTGTAAAGAGACAGAATATGGTTTTGAGGTCAATGGCATGCAGAATTCCTCCTTCTCTTTGTCTGTACAGTGTTTGTGCCTTGACAGAGTAGAAATTTTCCCTTTTTTGTGTCTGTTACAATGGTTGTTTAGCATTGTGACTAATCAAATCACTAGAGTCTAAATGTAAAGTAGTTTATGCATTCTCTGTTGTAGTTTGTCCAGTGAAACAGTCCTTATCTTTGAGTTGCTTACCTTAACAGCTCCAGGCACTGAGTATTTTAGTTACCCTGGCTGTATTGCCTTTTATCTGCCAAGTCAAAGCAAATATTCAGAGTTAAGTTTTCAGTAGTTAAAATTCCTGTGTAGCAACTTCTTCCTTTTGCCTCTCATCCCATCTATGCACACCTCAGAGTCTGTCTTCATCTTTTCTGTACTCTCACTACGTAGCTAAGGACAGCAGTAGGATCTCTAGAAAGATCATAGAATCATAGAATGGTTTGGATTGGAGGGGACCTTAAAGATCATCTAGTTCCAACCCCCCTGCCATCAGCAGGGACACCTTCCACTAGACCAGGCTGCTCAAAGCCTCATCCAGCCTGGCCTTAAACACTTCCAGGGAGGGGGCATCTACAACTTCCTTGGGCAACCTGTTCCAGATGTAGGGATCTAGCTCCCAGAATGCTAACTAGGAGCTATAGCCCCAGGGGCAGTGGCTGGGGAGGAGATGGGCAGTGCCACAGGGCACTATCAGAACTCAGACTCTGAAATGAGCTCCCTTTGCTCAAGCATAAGAATAGCAGCCTGTCTGAAGTACCTCCCCTTTAGCATCAGGAAGACAAAGGGGATCTGGAAGATGTCTCTATACCTTTTGGATGCAGAGCTCGGCTGCTCACTTAACAAGGTTCACATTTCTTCCTTAAGGCTTTGGTGTTCCCCTACTAGTATTTGGCTGTTGCATTTGACAAGGACAAGCACAGACTCACAGCACTCACTTCAGGAATTTAATACTTCAAAAGAAGAGTGTCCTAATTACTCAAGTTAGTGGCTAGGTGGGTGTTGAGTACTCTTCTATCAGAAACTAGGCCACGGGGAGGGAATGTAACAGGGCCAGAGGAGTCCACACTGTTGGTGTGCTTCTTGGGGAGAATCATGGCAATGGAAATTCAAGGTAGAGTTATAAATTCTGGAGCAGGTGACTTTTAGAAAAAAAAAAAAGGGGGGGGGGGAGAGGAGAATTAGTGCTGTTCAATATCTTAGTTGCACTTAAACAGGAGATTAAAAAGCCTTGGGATTTTCGCTTTCATGAATAACAAGTTCATCTGGGATTCAACCAGTGAATTCAGGTCACAGGGTTATGTGAATATTCAAGTGGTGTCTACTTAAAGACTGCACAAGCCTGGACTTCCTAAAGTTTTAGATGTTCAGGTTCTTTCCTGGAAATGAGAATTGGTGGGCCTGATACTTAACTGAACAAATACTGAATATGCGGGTGCATTTTTATTTTTCAACACTTATGTGGCTTCTCATTGTGGCTTCACTTTTCTTGTACTGTTTTAGCTTAGTGACTTCTCAGCTGTAATGGCGTAATTTCTTCTGTGTTGGACTATTTCCACGTGCTCCATGCAGCAGACATCGCATGCAGTTCTTCATTCTTGCACTGCAAAGTGATTTTGGAGGGAGTTGCGAAAGGGAGTAAAGGCAGGTGGTGGAATTGTGAACTTGGAAAGAACTAAAATGGAGAGGAAGGGAGAGGACTGGTAGTGCAAAGTCAGTGCATCATTGCTTCCATTTGCTTTTTGTTACGCTGAAAATGAACTCTTCCTTCTTAGGTTTCTCTTAATTCCTTTATAAGAATATCTTGAACTTTTGATGAGCTAGCCATCCTTGTGTAGGCAACATCAGCATTATGTGCAGAAGAGCACTAGTACCAAGATGTAGCTCTGGGCAAACTTCTTGAGCCATCATGACTTTGCACTTAGCTCCTCCTGCACTGTTTTCATGTTATGGAACCAAAGTCCTCATCTTTGCCCTTCTCTGAGATTGCAGAGTAAGTTTCTTTGCTTGCTTTGGAAGTCTGGTATGATCATGGGCTCCTGAATATCATAATTTATCAGCATATCGGCTGGAAACCTAACTATTAACAAAACCAAGTAACTAGTGCTTATGCGCTCTGAAGCCCCTGTTTTCCAGGCAGGGACTGTGGCACACCTCCTTGTGCATTTTCAAAATGTGAGGCAATGTAGTAGCTATAAAAATAATTGTGTAAAGGACAGCAAAGCTTTTAATGTGCTATGAAATACATGGAAGGCTGGAGAGCAACTTATGCCTTTTTTGGTTTTACATTTGCTTGTAAGCATCATAAAAAGGGCTTCACTTCTTGAAACTGCCCAACTTGATGGCCTAGTTGAGCGAGTGCTTTCATGTGGCATCATTTGTGAAAAGAAATACAAGTTTTCCTTGTAAAGCTTTTCAAGGCTTATTAGTGCTTTGCAGTACTTGAAGAACAGGTGATTTGATGTTAAAAGATCAACTGCATTTATCTAATCCAGTTCATTTATCTAATCCAGTAACTTTCACCCTCTTTAGCCTTAAACTTCTTGCAGGGAGGCACTTCTTGCAGTGCGAGGGGAAGTGGCTGAGCACAACTGGACAAAGAGAACTAGTTAGTATCGGCCTAGTTCTGCACTAAAACTTGGCACATAGCAAGACCAGAATTTGTAGTAATCTACATCACAGAGCTCCAGAAGACAGTCAGCTTCTATGTGCTCTGGAAAGGCTTGTGGAAGCCAAACAATCTGTAAAGATGAAAACCAGCAGAAATCGGGCCGGGGAAAAGGATGAAACATGGCCACACGTTACTGACGTGTGTCAGGACAGCATCTGGTGTTTGTGTATCTGATTTCTGGTACACGGTACCTACAAACCAACCTTCAGTTGTGCAACTGCCTTAAGGGATCCCAACCTTGAGGGAACTTTTTGTATGTGTAATTTTTTTTCCCACCACTGTATTCTACTGATGAGCCTCCAGAAGGAACCTCTTGAAACTTGTTCTGCAATGAATCATGGAACCTTTTTGCTTCTGTGAATGTATCTTCCGTTGTGCTGAGATACTAATTGGAGTTTTGGAAGTGCATCAAATGTGAGGAATTTATCTAGAATATGCAACTAAATTAGATTCCAGATGGTCTTGAAGTTATTTGTGAGCTCCTTAATCCATATCCAGTCACCTTGTAGGAGTAGGTGTGTGTTGTCACTAAACAAACAGTAACTGTATAACAACATTGTCGGGTTACAGAAATCCTCCATGAATTTCAGAACGGGGTTAAGACTAGGATTTTCTCCCTGCTGTGAGCATAAACCTGACCTTGAATACAGATCGATGTGACTGCTCTTGCTACATAATTTGTATTGATGAGTAGATAATTTGTATTGATGATTATGGAAGTCTTATGCTGAATTGAAATGGAAGCCTTCTGAATATAGCAGTAATTCTTTCAGTAGAAAGATTAGTTGATTGATAAGACTCGTGAGTGTTCACTTTCTACTTGATATTTTCAAAACTAAATGCAGCATGACTCATTGCTTGAGGAACTGAAGGCGCAGACAGACTTCTGCAGCTAAGCAGGATATGTACTAACAAGCATGGCACTTGAATCTTTCTAAAAAGGATAAAAGTTGTTGCAGCTTTTGCTCTGTTGTACTTGTGTGTGTGCATGGCTGAGCAATTTAAAAAGGCAAAACCAAGCAGTTACTATATAAGACTGTGTAAGAAAGACTGGCTATTTACCAAAGATAGTATCCAGAAGCCGCTCTCTAAGCCGATTTTTTTCTGTCTGTCACTTAAACTAACTTCTCGCTTTCTTTTTTCTTAATGCTGGCATTTAGTATACGCTCCATACAACATTCAATTAGCATGCCTATTATGAGGTAATGTATGCATAATCTAGGTGTTGGGTTTATTTATTTTCATGTGTGGAATCAAGTCAAATTGAACTTAATTCAACTAACACAGATTTAAAACAAACCCAAAAGAGCCACCCAACTTTGTAATGGATTTCCTGTACTAACATATAGGATAAAATTTGGTTTATTTCTGCTTAATGGTGGTGGTTATCACACATCTGGAATGTGACCAAGTGCACTTTCCTGCTGTTTGGAGAACTATAACAACTTTTCCCTGCCTGTTAGAAATTTAATGCTACTAAATGATTCCAAGCTTAAAAGGCAATAGCTTGGCATCTGTTTTAGAACAATGAAAGTGAGTTTCACAAAAAGTCTCTTGCTGACTTGGAGTGCTTGCCTTTTCTCTCTCTCCTTGCTTGGCACTGTCCCCCTCCATCTCCTGAGAACCTGGTTTGCTATATATATATATGTCACTGTGTGCTTTCCCAAATGAGAGAGTACTGCTATGTGTGGGTGCCCTACACAAATACCAAGCAGAGGGGGAAGGGAAGCTTAAGGGCTCTTTTGAAAAAACCCTCCTGTCTTTCATCTTTATGTAATAACTTTTTTCCCAAGTCTGCTATGAATCCTTAGTCCTGGTCCACTGAAGGCAAGCACTTTCCATCCTGCATGGAGGCAGAAAACGTGTACAAGCTATTGCACAAACTTGCAAATGGCAGTGACAGCTCATTGTAGCATTAAACCACTCTTCTGGCCCTAATAAATAATACACTGGCCCTCAGCATTGAAAATCCCAAGCTGTCCTGCTCTTCATATGCAGAACTTAGCATTTGTAATCACAGCTGTCTCTAGCAGTTAAAAGGCAAGGGGAACTCTGCCTTAAATTTAACATGTTAGCAGAAAATGCCACTGTGAACCATGTTTTGTTAATTGAATGCGTAGCCTATTAAATTAAACTAGTTCTTCTGTAACAGTGAAAAAACTCTGATGACAAGCTTTCTTCAGCAATAAAGTACTAGGCTAACCAGAAGTGATGGCTAAGCTTTTCTGAACAAATCCTTTAAGCCAGAAACTTGTTTGAAATCACTGGGAATAATAAGCTAAACCTAAAACACTTGCTAGTTCTCCCTTCCATGTTGTGATGAAAGATCCTATCACTGAGCCTGGCAATGCTTAGTTGCTAGACATACAAATGAGCTGCAACTTGAGTGTGTTTGAATTTTTTGTAGTCTTGAAGAGATTGAAATCTAAACTATTTTTAGGCTACCCTTAAAACCAGGCAAGAGCCCCAAACAAATGAAATTCATGTTGATATTGGAAAAAGCAACTGTCTGCTTGTTTTCTGACATTTATAGACTAGCCAGATATGGTTTTAATTCTGTTGTGTTTTGTTTTGTTTTTTTAAACTTTCCTAGAAATTCTCCTACTTTCAAATCCTTTGAGGAAAAAGTTGAAAACTTAAAGGTAAGCATTACTAAAACTCCTTGGTGATTGTGGAGCTGTGGATGTGGAGAGAAAGCTAAGTAGACTCTGGGTAGCCTGTGTTTTAGTTATTGGTAAACTGCTGAAGGTGCTTAGATGAAATCTTTTAAAGTATTGTGGAAATGGTTTCTCTGCCTAATGATTTGAGAATAAAAAATGGGCTTACTGCACCTCTTACAGGAGGATGCCTTTAACTAGAAGCTAGTTAACAGGTAGCTAACCTGCATGAACAGTCGTATAGCACGCTATAGTATGTATCCAAAATGGTCTCAGCTTTCATTTCCGTGCCTTCCTAAGGACTAGTATCCTACACAGGAATATAGTTTGGGATGTTTCTCTTATTTCTGGCATAAAATATGCAAGGACTTTGTACCTGAATTTAAAATTTACTCACAAAAGCCTCCAGTGCCAGAAACATCTATAAATAGCTTCTCCAGGTAAAAAATGACTTTAAAAATAACTAATACATGTAACCGGAACCAGATTTGCCTGTTCTTGTGGGCACACTGGTTGGGTGAGAAGCATGCAAGGGATAGTGTGAGGAACTAGGCGTTCTCTTGCAAACTAAGTGGCATTAACACTCCTGCCATCCCATAGGGTATACTGTAGAGGCAAGTGAAAAGGCAAATACATCACCTGGAGAAAGCAAAATAGTTGCTGTGCTCCAATGATGATCTCAAGAATTGCTGTTGAGACTGAAAACTGTTCAAGGTTCTTTCTTGAGCAATACAGAAGTGAGTTTTAACTCTGAATCTTTCAAAGTGTAAATGACTTGAAAGGCTGCGCACCTGTATCCATTTTTAACTGACAAGTGTGTCAACCTTCACACTCCCTGGAGTCAGGGCTGATTGATGCTTTGTGTACCTCTAAGTCACAGGGAAACTGCTTTGTTAATCTGCTGCTGCTGATTGTTTTCCACGTGATACTTAAAGACTTGTCTTTAGAGTATTGTGGAGGCAGCCCAGTCCTGGAAAAGCTGCTCTGCTGAGAAGAGTTGTTAAACTTACTCATGCAGAGGTACTGGTTCTATATGGTTAGCCGTGTTTGCCATGCCAAGTAACTGCATTTTTATGCTGAGGCACTCTCTGTGTTCTAGTCTAAAGTTGGAGGAAGCAAACCTGCCGGGGGAGACTTTGGTGAAGTTCTCAACTCTGCTGCCAATGCCAGTGCCACAGAAACTATTGCGGAACAGACACAGGAGGAGACCCACTGAGATTCCTGCCTCTGTCCTGCTACCCACTGCCAGATGCTGCAAGCAAAAACTAAGCACACTCCTAACATTCTTTGCGCTCTCTCCACCAGATGTGCTTTTATTTAGCACGTAGCTATTTTACCAGATTAACTGATACCAGGCTTGTTTGTGAATTCAAAATATTTTTGAAACTAAAATACATTGTTTGGGGTTTTGTGTGGGAAGGGGAATTTTTATGCCTTTCAAGCATTTAAAGGACTTATCTGTAATTTGAAGGCAACCTTTAAAATATAGCAATGAAAAAACTCTTTTGAGAAGTTAATTATACTGTACATATACTGTGGATACCTAATTTGTTTTGAATCTGTAACTACTGCTCCACTTAATCATTATGAATCTACTGCTGCTGCCAAACTGAAGCTTGTTACTTCACTCCCTTATGACTATTTCAGTTAAGTGTTGCCTGCACGGGACACTGGACTAGGAGGTTCGCCCCCAGCTAAAGCAAGGACTTCTGCAGGCCTTAAACAAGTTACTCATAGCAGGATGACACAGGGGTAGGGACGTACTGTCTCAGGAGTGTGTTCCTCATACAACAGATGTGGATAGGGTAATATGTAACATCTAAAACTGATTTGTCTGTGGATTATCCACCTGGGAAACTTCTGACTGCCACAAATGGAAGCAAGATGCCTAGCAGTGCTGGTTTGGTTCAGTTACAATAACATTTTCAGTCTCGTTGTTTGTACGTGATGTTAATGTGGTAAAAGATACTCTCTTCTGAACTTTGGATCAGTCGTGAATAGATTTCATCTTAATTCACATATGGTGGTATCACATTTACACTAAGAAAGCATGGACTGCAAGAATAAACCTGAGCAAGAAAGGGGTTATTTTTTAGGCTTCAGGAGAATTGATCTCAAATGTTAACCTTGTTTCCCTTGTAGGCAGACCATCGGAAACATCCCCTATGCTTTTTTTTTTTACTTGTTAAAGGTCTGTACCACTAGCACTCCTATTCCTGTTTAAGACCCCAGAAATCTGTTGTGAGAGGTGTGCAGTGTCGTACCGCAGCGTAGCTCTTACAAGGTCTGTTCTCCTACATGTTGCTTTATCTGATGTACTCTTCAAATTTCCTGTATTTTGTATGTTTCTGGCACATGCTGTCAGTATGGTTAGAACTTTTGGCAAGTGTTTTATTACCATGCTTAGAATTGGAAATAAGTTTTGAAACATTTCTGTGAAATCCATCAACCTTCAACTGTCACAGCTGTCTGGAGGAAAAAAAATCTGGCTCCTGACAACTGTGTTTGCATGTCAGATTAGTATATATGCTTAAATACATGTGAGAAGCTTAATAAAAACCTGGGTGTGAGGAATGTATTGTCCTGTGAATATGGAGGATTATATATATATATA